ATTGAGCTCCTCTGCTGTGCAGTGATGAGGAAGCAGATCTCCTGATAGTTTAGAGTTAGTATTTTAAACAGCATGACAGACTGTCAGTTACCCATCAGTGTTTGTGTTGTGGAGAACAGATCAGGAGAAATGTAAAAAAATGTGATATAAACAGAAAACATTTTTAGCTAGAAAGGGAAAGTTTGTGAACAAACTTTAAGTTGGCTTGAAAAAGCCAGTTAATAACGTTAAAACGTTAAAATGGTTGAAGACTGCTGATAGTTGTTAAAATGTTGCCAAATGTTGCTAAGCAGAAGCTGCAGTATCTGTGGTGGACGGTAATTCATTGCTAGGTGCTACCGTCAATGAAGTTCCACCTTGAAGTCTGCGCAACCTTAAATTTAGTGCTACCTTAAAGAGACCTGAAATCCCATGCCACCTTAATTTTAGTGCTATTTTGATTGGAGTTCCACCTTAAATTTAGTGCTACCTTAAAAGCAGTTCCACCTTAAATGTGGTGCTAAATTCACTGCCACCTTAAATTACTGCTAACCTTAATGTAGCTCCACCTTAAATAAAGGTCCACGTTAAATTCTGTGCCACCTTGACAGACGTTGCACCTTAAATTCTGTGCCTCCTTAAATTTAGTGCTATGTTAATTGAAGTTCCACCTTAAATTCAGTGCCAACATAAATGCAGTTCCACCTTAATTTCAGTGTCAATGTAAACTCAGTGCTACCTTGAAAGAAGTTCCACCTTAAAATTCAGTGCTACCTAGGGGAAATCCACCTTAAAAGCAGTTCCACCTTAAGAAATCATTATGTGTGCTGACACTGCTGAGCATTAGGCTGGGAGTGGGTGAGACATTGGGCTCCGTGCGTGAGTTTGGATGTGTGTGTGAGAGAGGTGGCCATTGTGACATCATGTGTGGCATGCTGCCAACATTCCACCCATTCATTCCCTATGGGAAAAAATATCGACTTTGAACGTTAATTTTCGGAAAACCGTATGTCGGATCGCTTAGAAAAGCACAAGCACACGATCCTGCAAAGTTTCATTTTCTAGCTCGAAAACTGTGGGAGGAGTAGCATTTTATATTTTGAGCGTAGAATAATAATAATAACTAGACAGGAAAAGTTCGTGAACGAACTAAGTTGCCTTGAAAAAGCCAGTTAATGACGTTAAAACGTTAAAATGGTTGAAGACTGCTGATAGCTGTTAAAATGTTGCCAAAATGTTGTGAAGGAGAAGCTGCAGTATCTGTGGTGGACGGTAATTCGTTGCTAGGTGCTACTGTGAATGAAGTTAAATTCAATGCCACCTTAATTTTAGTGCTACCTTAAAGAGAGTTCCACCTTAAATTTGGTACCATCCTGAATTTAGTGCTACATTAATTGAAGTTCCACTTTAAATTCTGTGCCACCTTAATTTTAGTACTACTTTAAGGAGAGTTCCACCTTAAATTCTGTGCCACCTTAAAGAGAGTTCCACCTTAAATTCTGTGCCACCTTAATTTAAGTGTTACCTTAAAGAGAGTTCCACCTTAGTTCTAGTGCTATGTTGATTGAAATTCCACCTTAAATTCTGTTCCACCTTAAATTTAGTGATATGTTAATAGCAGTTCCACCTTTAATGCTATGTTAATTGAAGTTCCACCTTAAATTCTGTGCCACCTTTATTTTAGTGATATGTTGATTGAAGTTCCACCTTAAATATAGTGCTACCTTAATTTTAGTGCTTCCTTAAGGAGAGTTGTACCTTAAATTCTGTGCCACCTTAAAAGAAATTCGACTTTAAATTCTGTGCCATTTAATTTGATTGCTATGTTAAGGAAAGTTCCACCTTAAATTTTGTGCCACCATAAAGAGAGTTCCACCTTAAATTCTATTCCACCTTAATTGTAGTGCTATGTTGATTGAAGTTCCACCTTAAATTTCGTTCCACCTTAAATTCTGTTCTTCCATAAATTTAGTGACATGTTGATAGCAGCTCCACCTTAAATTTATTGCTATGTTAATTGAAGTTGCACCTTAAATTCAGTGCCATCTTAAGTTTAGTGCTATGTTAATTGAAGTTCCACCTTAAATTCTGTTCCATCTTAAATTTAGTGCTATATGAATAACAGCTCCACCTTAAACATAAGGTTATGTTAATTGAGGTTCCACCTTAAATTTTCTGCCATCTTAAATTTACATACATACATCATCTAAACCGCTTATCCTTCTGGGTCACGGTGGGGTGCTGGAGCCTATCCCAGCTGTCATCGGGCGGAAGGCAAGATACACCCTGGACAGGTCTCCAGTCCATTGCAGGGCAGACAGACAGACATACACATATACATATACAATCACACACTCACACCTAGGGGCAATTCAGCATGTCCAGTTGGCCTGAATGCATGTTTTTGGACTGTGGGAGGAAACCCACGCAGACACGGGGAGAACATGCAAACTCCACACAGAAATGACCCTGGTCACCCGGCCAGGAATCGATCCCAGGCCATTCTTGCTGTGAGGCGACA